CACAAATCTTTCTTATCTGTGTATAAGTTTGTACATGGAATAAATACGAAAAATGAGTTGATACCAAACCGCAGACAAGATTGAAGTACTCACAACTTAGTCTTCCCTTTGTTACCATTCTGATGTGAAAGAGATACCGTAAAAAGCCCGTTATCAAGATCATCTGGTACTCCAGCAATTACACCAGGAACGCCATCGACTAAGCACTAAAACCGCTATGAACATGGAGTAGCTAGCAATTGGAAAAAAAATTCAGATCTGTTAAAGTGAATGTAGAAAAAATGTTTAGTCGCCTTGAACACAGAATGACAGCTACACAAATGAGCAGGAACACTGTAAAGCAGATCTGCTCTGCTTTTATCTAGATGGTTAGCTTTAACGCTTCCAGAAAAGACAAAAAATTCACGTCTAAACATTATTTTTAAAAAAAGTGGAGGAAGCATTACTTAGGTCGTACCTTATCAGCCACTGCTATCCATCGCAAAGGTGCAATCGCTTCAAATGGCGCATTTTTGACAACATTATCAGATAAATATTTTACCACATAACCATTGCATCCATATGCACTGAAAGAAAGAGAATTCAGGAAAATGAATCGTGGTAAGTAACGAAAGCTACCTTACGACTTTAGCAGGGTAGTAGTTTTCGAAATAAGCTGCGAAAACATTTGAATTATCTAGGATTAGATCCCTATCAAACTGCTGGCCATCACAGTGTGAAATCTTTTCTAACCTAGACAAGTGATACGGGGAAGAAAAGCGATATGAGTAGGATCCTTACCTCTTCCTGGGTATTTTCGCTCGAATTTCGCCACTATTCGATATTGTCGATCGGGATCTGAATGTAAATTACGGGAATCACTGATCATACCTGGCACCTAAGTCTCACTAATAATAGGTAGAAATTCAGAGTAGAAAGATAAGGCAACATTCGAAATGGCTCTCGTGCAAATGCCCAACTCTATCACTGGGTAAAAAGCTGATACAACAATCCACCTTTTTCTAAAAAATCTGCAACGAGTCTTGCCGTCATGTTTATCTTTCACCACAACGCTTCCATTTGGTCCTACTTTAACTGAAATTTGAGGTGAAACATATGTTATTATTTGGGGGCTATTTCCTCACCAAGAGACCTGCGTGGATTGTGGTTGCTTTTTGTCATTATCTTCGATGGCAAACCTGGAACCGAGTATAAAGAACGCTAATTTTATTCCTATTTTAAGAGC